ATGGAACGAGATGCCATAAGTGCCCTTGTTGATTGTGCAGTGCCTGAAAAACTGGAGGCCTTTCAGCAAGTTCTTTTACAATTTGCCAACTCACATCTTGGGAAATTGAATATTCATGTCACTGATTTGCAAAAAGAGGTTAGTTTTTATTTTCAAGAGGCATCAACTTCATTCACTAGTTTGATCACCTTTTAAGAAATATGGGTGTAAATTACCTAATTTTAACCTACTTTATGAATTAATTGCTTCAATTATTATTAAACCTATCTTTGAAAAGCTAGACATTTGCTTTCCCGTTCTTTGTGTTGCTCATCTGTGGGAGTTGTGGAAATAAAAGCAGAGATCAGTCTTTTTTAAACCCAGCTGAAGTGGATTTAATTTATTTCGGTGCTATTGAATTGGGTTCGTTCGGTTCGCTCCTGGTTAACTGGTTCTCCTATCTTGGGCCGGGCAATGAAAGTTCACTCCTATTGTTGGATGTTTTTCTACTTATTAAAATCTAGATAGTCATGTCACACTTCCCAATGGGCGCCATACCACTTATCTTGTTCTCCTACAATTATACTTAGGTATCAATAATTTACCCATAAATATTGAAATTTCACTAAATTCCTGTGTAATATGTAGCTGATACTCCATTAAAGGGAATCATTTTATTCCCTACCCTGTATTCATCAATCAATAGACACTGTTAGGACTCAAATTCAAACAATTTTACCACAAAATACAGTTGATATCTAATTGCCCTCAGGGATCTATGGGCCTATGGAGAAATATCGTGTCAGTCTCAAATTTCCTTGTTCATTTCATTTGTTTCTGCGATAATTTTTTGTAGGCAATTCTCTTACAATTTTTGTCTTCGAGGCTATTTATAAACCAAATATTTTATCGATTTTCCGCCTTATAGTGAAAGTGAGCTGAAAATGAGAATGTAGTGTTTTGATATTCCCACTCATGGGAAATAGCTCAATAAGAGTAGAGTGTGGATGGAGTAGAAGTGTGGTGATAGAAGTCGACACTTCAAAAGAATCCTGTTTTATTTTGTTTGATATTTAGTCCACTGATTCCCTCCCCCCTCCTCCAATGTTCAGAAAGTTGAATTGTGGAATTCCATCCCCCCTAGGTTCTTGTGTGACTTTCACATAAGCTTGTTGATCAGTTGACTGGGTAGTCATGCCATTTCGATTCATCTACCCCTTTTTGTGCAAACTTTAATGCTCTTGGCATCATCTCCTTCGAACCTTCTCCAAGTAAACTCACAAGTTTTTTTCCTCTTCTTTTAATACAAGACCATATTTCATACCACGTTTGATGAAAATAGGTAAAATATTTATTTAATATTAATATCCTTTAAAAATTATTTGAATTAGTTGTGAATCATTAGGCAAAGTATTTGGATGTTCAAAATTATACGTGTCGGTTTGTTTGTATTGTATTTTCAAATGTCGCCTGTAATGGTTTTGTTTGGTTTTCTTTATGGCATAGATGAACGACGGGGTGTATTTCCTTTTGCTGTTGGGACTTCTAGGGGGTTACTTCATACCCCTCCATCGTTTTCATCTCACACCGCGTACCGATGAGCAGAAGTTGGCCAACCTTCAACTGGTCGCCCAACTCGTGCAAGAAGTTGAAGGGATTGAACCGGGCCCTAATACCCGTCCAGATGATATTTTACGTCGGGATCTCAAAGCCATTCTTCGATTCCTCTATGCGCTTTATACGCGCTACAAGGATATCGAGTAGATACTGATTTAGATACTCGACAATTTATCATAATGACTTTTATTCGTGCAAATTGAGCCTTCTCATTAATGTGTTTACCTTGTTTGACTTTGTTTTCTTTGTCGCATTTTGCCTTTGTCATGTTTGCGGTTTCGTCTTTGTGCCTTATTTCATCATTGTCTTTGATTTCCTATATCTCATGTTAGAAATTTCAATGATTTCGTCGTTCTGGGATCAAAATGATCGATTAACTAATGGTGTGCAATATTCAAGGTCTTAATGACTTTCAATATGTCTTGGACAATTTAATTTTTTTATTTAATGAAATAAATTATCTTTAAATTTCTCCTGTATAATTATTTGTCTCTGGAGTCCATATTAAACTGTTGGGGTGTGCGATGGATTTACCTCCACGTGGTGCACCCTGAGCAACGCATGCTCATACGGCAAAAGTCTATAAACGAGCAGTTGACTTCTGAGTTCAAACTATCATGACCCCATTGTATGTCATATTCCACTACTTTCACAGTACTCACCTTACCTTTTTCTCTACTTTTGTGTCTACCTGTCTCTTTTGCACCTGCGAATAGTTCTTCTGTTCCCCACCCCTCCAATTTCTGCTATTTTGATGAACCTCCCCTCTGTGAAGCCCGAAGTCAGCTAAATGGCTAATGTTAGCTATCAAAACGCCTGCCATTTGAAATAAATAAATATTAAAATGTTAGTAATGCGCAATAGTAAGATTAAGTATAGCTAGTAACGAATCGCCAACTTTAGCAAGGACAAAGGGGTAAATTCTCGCTGGTTTTAAATAATCAGCTGGGTTTTCTCTATTATCAACTGAAAATACAAAAAGTAGATGTATTTGCTCTCCAACGCCATCCAAATGGAAGCTCTAATTAATTTTGAACCAAGAAAGCCCATAGGAATGCTGCTTTGGGTGTGAGATCGAATTCCGGAGAGAGAGGAAGAGGATCAAAGGGTTAAATGAGACCACTTGCTTCCCAGGTACTACGAAATGATCGGGAGAAAGAGGTGGAATTAGAATGATGGAGAAAGCCTCAGGTTATGAGTACAAGGCAAGAATGAATGAGAAATGATAACTCTAAGTTTTGTCCAGATTTGAAGTTGAAAATCAGACAGACTTCTCCATGGGTCGTTTACACCCTCTGGTTCAGTATTACACATGCTAGAATTGAGATCAATTTATTGATTTATCAACCCTACTTAGAAGCCTTCCGGTGGAACAAAAATTATTCATCGATTCGCCATGCCAACATCGATTTTACGATTTGCCTTCATCTTCCATCATTACCCTATGGTAATCTAATGGCAATTCAATCGTCTCGTCATCCGTTCTTCCTCTTTTGGTCGCCAATTTAGTTATGTTCCTTAAATATGAGTTCTTCCATTATATTTGTATTGGTCTGTTCGCTTTCGCAGATAGTGCTATTAGATATCTAAGTGTCGGTTGTCCACGGAGAAGAGCTCTATATTTCAAGGATTTTTCATCCTATTTCATTGTAATCCTAGGAAATAAAATGAAGGTGAAAAGAATTTGAGGAATAATTCACCACAAATCAACTGGTGAGAATTGTATTGATTCACTTGGTAAATATTTTGCAATTACCTTATAACAATGCCAACTTTTCAAGCACAGAAAATTAGTAGATTTCAAGTCTCCGGAAGTGATAAATATATCCTCCTATTTAACAAAGATACCCAAGATTCTTGACAGAATAATGATTAACGGATGTGTAGGAGTTAGACAGGCACAAAATGTTTAGTTTAGCATTTCCATTTTTAAATGGACCGAATTTTACGCCCCCCTTCCTACCGAATACTCACAAACCATATATGGCGGAGTAAAGAAAATAATACGTTATTGGTGAAGTATTTGTTTAGGAAGTAATTCACGTGCCTTTTTTCTCCTTCTCTATAACTACACTACCCATAGAAGATCTCATGTACTTAAACGAAAAAGTATCATCTTCTTGGAAAATGATCACATTCTGCCCGTTAAAGTGCTTTCTTAGAATTATGTAAATCACGAAAGAAAATGAGATGCAACAAAAACGAGCATTAGTCCATTTTGCCACTAACACACTACCATTTTGAAGGTAGGCTAAACTCGTAAAATATCAGATGATTGTCGTCTTCTATTATCAAATGAGTTAGAAATAAACTTAGATGAATAAAATGTTAGCTATAGCGATATTAATTTCAATCACACTTTTAATTCATTTAAAGGTCATGTCAGGGATATGAATTGGGAAAGGGGATAGCCATCATTCCAATAGAATTGGGAGCTCTGAGGGACACTGTCCTTTCTGCATCTTGACTTCCTTTCTCATCCTCAATCGCAATTTCTTCCCCTACACATGGTATCTAGAGAAGGGTAACATATTAACATCCATTGCTATTGAACTTGAACTAAAACATACCACACAATAAGTTATCCTTTCATAGCCGTTTGCTGTTAAACTAAATGTAAAGTAAGAAATCAAGGATTGACTAAGGTACAAATCACATTATTCGTCGTCAACAACGCAAAATTCTAATTCCACAAAACAAGGAAGAAGGTGAGATGAAAAATTCGAAAGATATGGGTCGCATTGTGGTCGTCGTTAAAAAAAGTAGATTCAGTTTAAGTCGTCTCATGCACTACACACACAACTTTGATCAAAGCAACCAATGAGAATTTGAGATGAGTTAGCAAGTTTGTTGTCGAACTCGTAGGTTTATCGGCGTTGAGATTTTTCAGTATTCTTAGTTCGACCAGAACGCTCCGACCTGGGATCTTTGAGCATATAGGCAGGATGGTAGGCGACTCTGCCCGCAGAGTCAATGTATCGCAATTCGGGATTGGGATGTGTGTTCTCCATACTTCCGAGGGATGTGTATCTTTAAGGAAATAATTGGCATAGTGGAGAGAATGAGACATAAAGGTCCACATTTTGTGGGCGTAAATGTTAATCAGTAATAAAAGACAATTGAGAAATAAACTATACGCCTAAATAGAAAATGGACATTTAGCTGCTGAAGCGGTAAACGAGAAGGTGGAGAAATCCCCTCCGCTCCACCCCNCCCCCCCCCCCCCCCCCCCCCCCCCCTCCCAAACTTGGTGCCTAACCAGCGCTAAAGCTGAAAATTAGGTTGAACGGAACTGGGCCAAAGGATACTCGTCCGAGTCCAATTATGGAGGCGCCACCACCATCCTATAATTGTTTACATATTTGCATTCTACTATTTAAAACAAATTAAAACTGGATTTTGAAGTAAGGAGTAGAAGTGGCAGAATAGGAATTGAGACCCTTGTTTATTAAAATCGGCATTCAATTCAATTTTCATAAAAACTCCTATCAGAAATGTCTCAAACAATGAAAGTTCTAAGAGAGCCAGCAAGTACCAATGATCAGTTGGATCCCTAAGGAAATTTTTGCAATTTCCAACAAAATTATATATCACACTTCCCTTACCTTTGTGTGACAAGATCAAAAAGACGCAACATCGAGTATAAAGGGGAAATCGATGCCCTAATAGATACTCTAAAAATAAGTCTTTGTTCATGGACACTCGACTAAATATCAACTTTTGTGCCAGTAGGATTGAACTGTAGTTCCATTGTTAGAGCAAGTATTAAGTTTCCCAACTTGGGGTGTGCGATAGATTTACCTCCACTTGGTGCACCCTGAGCAACGTATAATCATACGGCAAAAAAAGTCTATAAACCGGCGTTTGACTTCTGACTTCAAACTACCATCACCCCACTGTATGTCATATTTCACCACTTCACAGTACTCACCTTACCTTTTTTCTACCTTTATGTCTGTCTGGCTCTTTTACATCTGTGAATCGTTCTTCTGTTCCCCACCCCTCGACTTTCTTCTTCTTCGATGAACCTTCCCTCTGTGAAGCCCGAAGTCAGCTAAATGGCTAATGATAACTATTAAAACGCCTGCCATTTGAAATAAATAAATAAGTTTCCCAACTTACCCAACATCATATAGGCAACAGTAAGGCAGACTGAGTCCTCGAATGAAATGCCAGATGTCAGCATAATCCCAATTCAAGATGGGATGAACACGAAGGAATTCCGGCCAACCAGGATCTGTAGGCATCACTTCAAGCATATTTTCTAATGCGAAGAAAATAAAAGCGTAAAAGTAGCTTTTCAAACGCTTCCCAGAATTTAAGTATTTCAGAATCCTATGTGAGTGAATCACACAGCAATTTACAACAAGTCGTAATTTATCTCATAAATGTTTTCAAAATCTACACATATTTGCCCAATATGAGCGTAATTATAGTTCCAGTTCATCAGTACACATCCAGTAATATAGATGGCTAACTGATATTTTCCAATTAATAAGAGTTCTAGGGCAGCCCCCTCTATCCGTGTTAAGCAATGTCAACACTTTTTTTAACATGAGCCCAAGATTTCAGTTGCAGAATTTATGACCTTTCGAAATCTATTAGAGTCTTTCAATAGTATGGTGCAATTAAAACAGTCCAATGTTGTCACCCGAACTTCTTTCTGGCCTTTCAATTCCAACAAACATCATCTAATCTCAACAATTACTCAATAGAACTCCAAGCCACAGCTTAAAGGTAATACGCAACATTATTTATTTATTTATATCAAATGGCAGGCATTTAGATAGTTATC